AAAACACAAATGTAAAGATTCACAAAAAAAAAAAAATCTGATAATTGTCTTTAGGAACCAACTACTCACACCAACAAATCTGTTTTATTAGCAAAAATCCTGATTATAAGCAATGTACTGTATACTAAATTATTCATCGGGAATTTAGGTCAATAATCACAACTATCACAAAATTACCATTATTAGATAGTGGGTTGAAGGATTTGGAGTTCTACGCAGCAGTGGTTGGCAATATATTCATTCTTCCGCGATATAAAAAGAAACCAGCATGTCGGTACACAAGCGTTTCTTTAACAGTAAACAAAGCAAAAACACACAAGACAAAGAGTGAAAGAGTGCATTGAACCAAGACAAAGAGATCTGCATGTCTGATAAGGACAGAGTGAGTGTGTGTGTGGTGTGGGAGGAGTGTGAGCACATGTGGTCACACAAAGAACAAAAGGTGTAGAAGCCACTTTAACTTGCTGCCTGCATATGAGAATCAGAATCAGCTTTATTGCCAGGTATGTGTACACATACGAGGAATTTGACTCTGGATTGTACATTACTCATACAAAAATACAAAATCCAGAATACAAATTCCTTGTATGTGAAAATGTACCTGGCAATCAAACTGATTCTGATTCTGGTGTGGTTTTATGAATGAAGTGTCTGAGGTCACAGGTCATCAACCAATCAAGACTGCAGCTGGGTCTGTAGGCTATAGGAGTTGGGAGTCCTGGGAAACTGAGTTCAATGAGTCGCATAAAAAAAGTTCAGATCACAAACAAAGAACCTCACCTGCATGAGGTCCCTATCATTGTCCCCCGTTTACCTGGTGTTTTGGGGATGACTGGCTGGTATGGATGGCTCAGAGGGAGTTATAAGCAGAGATAGAAGTTTTAATTGATTTTTCAATACATTTTTAATGAGAATGTGTTCAATTTGCCTGTCTCCAATACACCTGTTGATTTAGAGTAGAAACTGTAGAAAAATTCATAAAAACAACAACTTTGATGTGCACATAAGCACGGAGGTTTCTGTGGTTGATATACAACAGTTTGTTGCTGGTTGAACAAACTGCAACCACTGGATCTGACGTGGGTAATTGTGGCTTGACAGAGTGCAGCATCACTCCAGTTAGAGACTGCAGGTGGACTAACAAGATATTTGTTGTCTTTAGATGGGTTTATGCTCACAAAATGAAGTCACTAAAAGGATGCTGAGTTATCTCTGAGCATTCTTGACACCAAGATTGCAGGATGCCACTGGTGATGGCGACGCCATCAAGTGTGCCTCTCCTCCCACTGGGACACTTGTTGAGTTACCACAATACCAAACTGACACAGTCGAGGAAGTTACCTCAGTAATGCCCTGGAAGACAAGTGTGAGAGTTCTGCGCTCTGCACCAACATTAAAATACAGTTCAGCTCAGTTTATTGCATATTTTGATGGTTGGTTGGACAACTAAGTGGGCCATGACATTCAGATGAGACTTCCTGCAATGTAGATATAAGGCTGGGTCAAGCTGGGTATCTGTGATTTGTTTGTGTGAATGTAGGATTTAAAGGCAGTTAGGTAGGTTAGGTCAGGTTTAGAATGGTGTAAGAGTGCTCAGTGGATTTATGACGACATAATACCCACTTCAGGTCTAATGACAGGTACTGTAATGTTCTAATATGCACATCAAAGTTATCATTTTGGTTTGTTATTGTACATAAGAAACAAATTGAATCAAAACTGTGAGTTAAAACAGTACAGTTGGAGCAGGTTTTGCAGGTTATTCATTAAAAACCAAATGTGAACTGAGAGGGCTGAGGGCTCAGCTCGTTGAAATAGTTATGATGTGGTCTGTGCCTACAGGAGCTGTGTAACCCTGTGCCCCTTTCCTCTGCAGAGCTGCAAGAACAGGAAGAGGAAGACCAGCTTGTGGGTTACAAATCTAAAACTGGCAAAGGTAATTTTTTTGATCACCACTAGCTGATGGCTGTGCCAGTTCTGCAAACAGCAGATGCATGAGCAGTTTTAAAACGTACATAAATGAGTGTGAAGCAGAGTGACACGGTGGCAGGCGTCTGTGGCGATGGGCAGGGGTTTCACCACCTGTAACCCTAACCGATAAATGACTCTTAGTTGCCGTTTGTTTCGTTCTGCTGGCAACTGACTGATGTTGCACAACTGTCACACCCTGCCACCAAGTAGCTGGGTGTGTGTGCATAAAGTGTCAAGTGAGAGATGAGTCAAAAGGTTGAGGAGGGGGCAGGATTTCCTTTATATTCTAAGATGTGTTGAGTAGGACAAAGCTCTCTGGACAGTCATCATGTCACCCAGGTAAGTGCCAACATCTCTGCCAGCCAAATTTTTGTTTTCGTTCAAATCCACCCAGGAAGCTGATATTGATGTTTTTACTTCAGATTCATTGTGTACAGACTGCTACTGTTCCATCCAAGATAATCCAAAATCTGGTGTTACGGTATTTGGGGTTTTTCTCCAGTTAAAATGTTCTATTCTTAAAATGATGTTGAGTTTGTGGTGTACCCGGCTATCAGGGTGTGCCATCTTTAGAAAACATCTTTCTGCCAGTCTCATTTCACAAGATGCGTCATCATCAACCCACACAAAACAGTTAGAAGGTAAGTGGCAACATCTCTGCCAACCAAGTTTTTATTTCATTAAAATCCACTCGCTAAGCTGATATCGATGTTTTTACTTTTGATTCATCGTGTACAGAATGCTACTGTATGTGTCCTTGGGGTGATGGAAATTGTACAAAAATTGGGTTTTATAAGGATTTTTATTTGAGTTTTTTTTCCTCTTAAAATGTGATTTAAAAAAAAAGTTTGTGGTGTATCCAGCTATAGGGGCCATCTTTAGAAAACCTTTTTTTGACATTAATATTTCACAAGATGCGTCATCATCAACCCACACAAAAAAGTTATAAAAGTATTCTTATCAGAAGTTATTATTATTAAAGCATACAGATAAATATTTGTGGTTTGTCATATAAATGACTTTGATCAGTCACCTGCAAACTAGTTTTATTTAAGCATAAATCTTTAACATTTTTTTTTGAGCAGTTACAAGCAATGCTGTGCAATACTGATGAAATCCTCCATCAGAAGCAGAACACACTGTTCTTATTGAAAACACTGAACACAGGGGAAGACAGACAGAGGTATGGTTTTCATAAAATGTTCGACCAGAGCTTTAATCCTTTGTAAAAAAACAAACAAACAAACAAAAAAATCTCAATGATTACTTCACTCTTCTTAGAGTATTTTATTTGTGTATGTTACATTTCTAAAGCTCACTTGTAATAAAACAGAATTAAATGTCTTCTGCAGTAGGACATTTTTTCATTTTTATCACCTTGCCCTCTGCAGTTCCTGCACTGATGAGAATGTATGAAAGCAAAGTAATATCTCTGATCTACCCTTCCTTCCTTTCTAGGAGTTACATATCCGGAATCTGTGCCCTTTTGACCTGGAAAACACCTGGCAGCCATGACAACATCTGGATCCCGAGCCTTTGTCATTGTCCTCCTCCTCCTCGGCTCCCTCTCATCCCTGCTTTATTACATCTTATTGAATGAGAAGCTCTGTCTGCAGAAATATCATCTAGATGTTCCTCAGAGAAACATCAGCATCCTGCTTTGGCACTGGCCGTTCGGCCGCTCATACCAGCTTGACGGGAACAAATGCCTCGAGATGTACAACATCAGCCGATGTTTCCTTACTCATAACATCTCTTCTTTCTCTACGGCCGATGTGGTTGTCTTCCACCACCAGGAGCTGAGCAGAGGTCTGTCCTCAATGCCCCTGCACCAGCATCGCCCCGCCTCCCAGCACTGGGTGTGGTTGTCAATGGAGCCTCCTATCAACAATGCGAACCTCACACAGCTGAACGGCCTCTTCAACTGGACGATGAGCTACAGACGTGATGCAGACATATCTATCCCTTATGGAAAGACCATGCTAGGAGGTGATGGACTAGGCTTTCAGGCTCCTCTAAATCGCTCCTGTTTTGTCAGCTGGGTGGTCAGCAGATATCGGCCTCACCAGGCTCGGGCTGTTGTTTACCAAAGTCTGAAGAAGTATATACCCATAGAGGTGTACGGCAAGTGGAACAAAAAACCCCTGTCAGACAAAGAGCTGTTGCCCACCATTGCAAAGTGTCTTTTTTACCTGTCTTTTGAGAACTCTGAGACGACAGACTATATCAGCGAGAAGCTCTGGAGAAACGCTTTCCAAGCAGGGGCCGTGCCAGTGGTACTCGGACCCAGCAGGGCCACGTATGAGGCACTGGCTCCCCCTGGTTCCTTTATCCATGTCTCTGATTTCAAGAGCACAGCAGACCTGGCAGCCTATCTGAAGCATGTGGCTGCAGACCGGCAGGCCTATGAGGAGTACTTCCAGTGGCGCAGCACCCACAGAATTAAAACCATCACTGACTGGAGAGAAAGGCTTTGTCACATCTGTGTTAAGTACTCCAGTTTACCAGCGAATAGAGTCTATCAGGACCTGGACAGCTGGGTTAACAGCTGAAATTTGATGTCTTCAGGTTGATGAGGTGTTGATTGGGACTGCTGATACTGCTGTTTTACCACATGCAAATGTGAAATACCATACAGTGAAATTTGATGTAGAATTACATGTGTCTCAGTCAGCAATGCAGCTTTGGTAAGCAGGGAGGAACTGCACATCACAGAAACAAATCTCTGTGGTTGGGTGAGTTGGCAGTGCACTGTACAAAAAAGAAGAAGTGGGAACTCATGTTTGAACCACAGAGGCAAGTTTTTCTTCACAACAAGTTACTGACGACTGTAAACAGTGATGGGTGTTTCATTATTTTTCCTAAGCCTATATACGCTTTTCCGGTGCTTTTCAAAAATAATTGTTTGCTAAATAAATTACAGCTGGTAACCTACTGAGTAAAAGCCAATATCAGTTTCACCGGCAACATTCTATTTAATAAGGTTCACTGTCAGGCATCATGATAAAACTAGCAACCAGTGAATTAAAGAATAGACTAATTTCCAAAATAAAGCCATGCTCTGCACAACAAGAGAATTCTGTTAAAATGTTGAATCAATCCAGTGATCATCTGACTTTTTTTGATTTAACCTATCTACTGAGATGCACATTCATATGACCCACAATCTTGGTCTCTGTTACCATGCCCATAAATCTTAATTGGGCATGCTGTCATGACTGTGGCTGATGGGGGTCAATATCTAAAAAAAATAAGTGTTACCACTTCTTTTATATTTTTAAAACTGTTTATTTTAGATCCAATATTTCCAGGGATACACCACATCCTGAAATATATGTACACATTTTAGTTGAACACATTTGAATGTACTCAAGGAACAAACTGTCTCAATTCACCCCCCTCTCCCCTACCTGATTTTCTAAATTTTTGCATCTGCCCAGCTTATTAATATCTGGCATAAGTGCATGTCTCTTTGTACGGCATACATCAAGTTAAAGCTCTCCTACTTAACTGCTCTTACAGCTGGGATGGCAGCTCAATTCTTTAATGACTGGTTCTAAGGAAGATAGGAATGGCAAATATAGCCAAGTTAAAGTAGATTACTAGTTCAAAAAATGCTTGAGTAAAGAGTAAAAGCGCAGAAAGTGAAAGGTTATTGTTCCTAAAAAATACTTATTAAATTAATTTCTTCCCACCTGAGAAGGTTTGGTTAAGGTTAGACCACGGAAACTACTTGATTATTCAAAACTAACTTTCATTGGAAGAAGGTTATAATAGACATACAACTTTATTTGTCTTGCAGTAAGCACTTAACATTTTTACTAAGTGCTTTAACTAAGGGCTAGAGTGTTGACACAAAATTTGGCATCAAAAATTTCTTTTTGGATTGAAAACAAAATCGGAACTGAAAAAGATAACATTGGCACTGAAACATTTGTATTTCAGAAAGTTGTGTTGGTACTGAAAAAACTTTCACTGAAAAATAAAACACATTTTATAATTATTCTTCATTATGTTCATGTTATAAGTGGTAGGTTTTTTACGCTGTCAGATTTTTTCACTGTCACTGGTTTTAAGTTTCAACTTTCTGTGAGTGTTTTGGCGAGGAGGGGTCTGAGGGGAGGGGCAAGGGGAACATCATTTACATATAATCACCACTGTAATGAGAGAACATCACCCTTCCAGCAGCTGTCCTCTTGTCCTCTTGTCCTCTTGTCTACCGTCCACTTCAAAGCTTCTGGCATCACTGCAAAGAAATAAGTCTGTTTCTCTCTGCAGTTGTTTTCTCACATTACAACTGGCTGGGTGAGACTCACTGTTTCATTTCCTCTTTTGGTCCGTATCATAGTGCACATGAAGCTGCAGAATGCAGTTAGAAAGTGAGTTTTTTAAAAATAGGCTGTGCATAATCTGACAGTGTTTTAACACCATTAAACTGACTTTGAATTTACTACATTTGTTGAAGTAGCTGAAATAAAGCCATTGAATGCTGTTGAGCCAAGATCCAGATACGTGCATCAGGTGCATTTCTGTAGCTAGTATGATGTATGTGACAATTCATATTTTTACAAGAATTAAATTTGGATTTGAAACCTGATGGAATTTTGATGAATGCCTAGACTTACAGTTGCAGCTCAAATAACTTTTTTTTCAAATAATTTCAAATGTACCTGTAGATGTCAAAAATTTTAGATCTATTTTAACCTCGATGCCTTTTCAAGGGCATATCAACAAACACATCATCACTGGATTAGATTATGTGTCTGTGTCTTTTATTTGTGTTTTTTATGTCTTCAACTGAATGTTTCATCTTCAGTTGCTACCCCTGTATTTTATCCCATCAGTTCAAAGCTTAACAAATATATTTAAATATAATGGGCAACAGTATAATACACATTCAGATTCCACCACTTTATCATCCAATAAGGAAATGTTAGTTAGGAAAATTATGAAGTAACGGAGAACACTGAATAAAACTACTGTATGAACTTATAGACTCAGTCAGTTTTTAAAGATAAATGTGCACAGTCTGCATATTCATGCATTATTATGTCTATGTCCGCTGAAATAAAATGGAGACTTTGGCTGCATTTCGTTCCACAGTGTACATAAACAGTACTCGCTACTCCCTCGTCAGGGAGTGTCAAAACTTCCCTCACCAAGATTCTTGGAACACCCTCCTACATCACTTTCTCCATGCGTTACCCTGGTAATGTTAACACTTCGGATACACACTGCTACTGTGAACATTTACTGAAATAAATAAACTGAAACAAAAACTGATGCCATAACAAAACCTCCATTTCTATAACTTCTTCTATTTCTATATATATATATGACAAGATGTGCGGTATCATTCCTAAAGAGATTATTATTATGCAAATTACTTAGAGATTATCCCGTTATATTATGAATAAACCATTTGCAGATTATTATTAGTTAATATTCATATTATGTTGTCCTTGACCGCTTTTAATTCAATTCAATTTTATTTATATAGCGCCAAATCACAACAACAGTTATCTCACAGCGCTTTTCATAAAGAGCAGGTCTAGACCGTACTCTGTGATGCTATTTACAGAAGCCCAACAGTTCCCACCAAGAGCAGCACTAGGCGACAGAGGCAAGGAAAAACTTCCTTTTAAGAGGCAGAAACCTCGAGCAGAACCATGGCTCAGGGTGGGCGGCCATCTGCCTCGACCGGTTTGGGGGGTGAGGGGGGGGGCAAGAGAGGAACAGAGAGAAAAAGAGAGGGATGGAAGGAGAGAGAGAGGGGAGGGAGGCAGCCTACACAATATACACACAGAGGTACAGACAGTAAAGGTGATGTTGCTATAGACTAAATGAAAAATGGTACAGATATTTATAATAGTGTTAATGATAATAATCGCAATGTTAATGATTATAATAACAATAATAATAATAGGACTAGTAACAATAGTCGTTGCAGCAGAGGGTGTCGAGCAGGAACACGGGGGCAGCAGGTAACCCGCAGCCACAGATCCAGACTCCACAGCTCCAGAGCCAGAAACACCTGCAAGAAGTGATAGGAGGAGAGAGGAGAGGACGAGAAAGCACAAGACTACCAGAAAGGGGAGAAGTTGTGTTAGTAACATGCAATAATGGTATGAGGTTGCATACAGAGGGAGAGAAAGTAGAGGAGAGAGGAGCTCAGTGCATCATGGGAAATCCCCCGGCAGTCTAGGCCTATAGCAGCACAACTAAGGGATGGTTCAGGACTACCTGAGCCAGCCCTAACTATAAGCTTTATCAAAGAGATGGTGTCTGCCTCCTGAACCCAAACTGGAACCTGGTTCCACAGGAGAGGAGTTTGATAGCTGAACGCTCTGGCTCCTAGTCTACTTTTGGAGACTCTAGGAACCACAAGTAACCCTGCATTCTGGGAGCGCAGTGCTCTGGTGGGGTAGTAAGGTACTATGAGCTCTTTAAGATAAGATGGTGCCTGACCATTAAGAGCTTTGTAGGTAATAGCCTGGCATATTTCTTCATATTACAGCAGCAATGTGAAGACACTGAAGACAACAAATTTGCATAGGAAGACTACTGGCAATGATTGCCTTGACCCAAATAAGTTTTAACTTTTTTTTGTTGCCATCTAGCTAGCTCCCCCAGGTGGTCATTTATGTTACTAACATAATACTACTACTACTACATTTTACATTTCATATATTTTACATGAATACTACTACTAATAAGCTGTGTTTGAGCCCACCAGAAGATGCAGAGGCAGAAGGGAGGAAATCTGCAAAGAAGGGAGGAACTTGCCGCCTGATTTCAGCTCCTGAGTAGAGGCACAACGTGCTGCAAGAGCATGATTATAATTACTGTACTCTGTAAGAAAAGATACACCATAATTACTCAATAAAAACGAGGCAACATATTAAAAGCAATATTATTAATTAAATTTCACAATGTTTGGTAATGAGTAAATATTAATTAAATGAGACCCTTAATAGTTATCCATTTAATATGAGTAGATTCAAATAGAAAACAGTACAGAATTAATTACAGCCTAAAGAAAAATATTTAGTTCATTTGAAAAAGGTGAGCAAACAAATGAAACCTATTGGCCTCAGGTGAAGATACCAACGATGGTGGTTCAGTCTTGGCCTCCGGTAGTCCTAATGACCATAACGACTGTCGTTACAACAACCAGGAACACTAATGAACCAGCGGTATTGATGATCCTGGCAAACGACCCCACTGAGGTTAAATAGCTGAGTTTCCCTACCAGTCAGTCAGAACTGAAGAAGTCCTTTGGATGAGGGACGAAACGTCTTCCAGTATCTTCAACCAAGTTCAGTTGGCCTTGACTTTAACCTTCTTTGGATAACTATGACCTGGATGACTGAGAATCTTCACAGACATTTAATTCTATATATCAATAACATATCACTGAGTGGTGGCAATAACTTCAGATATTATCATCCACACATAAGCCAGAAAGCATGTGTGCATGGGGTCAGCCGACCCAGAACCCCAACTGAGTGGGGGATCCATGTATTGCCACAAATGGGTTGTCATATGCTAATAGACACAACTACACAAGAGAATCGATTTCGGTTCGCTGGTCAGTGATTAGTGCAGCCGTCTTATCAAATGAAACAGGCACTTCACTCCTGGTTTCATTAGTAAACCAACAGACTGTAGCCTATCTAAAAAAAAAACACCACAAGAATGACAATTACCAACAAAAAACACTATATTCTAAACAGACACGCAGAAACTTCCTTCACCGGCAATCATCATGGGAATTCTTAGGCTGCTCACCCAGGCCTCACACAGGCGGCTGTGCGCCGGTTTAGTTCCGTCCTCAACTACCACTGGAAGCCTAGTATTTCAGCAGCGGAGCGTGCAGCCTGCCCATGTTAATGACTTTTTTCTTCTACTAGCTTCTTCACAGCGGTATGTGATCCGCTTTTGTTCTGATCATAGCCTGTATATAAGATCTGCAGAGCCCACAGGGAGTATTTCAGAATAAGAGCGTTTTGCTTGCCTGATTTTGCTGAAATGTTTAGATTTTGTTGATTTAGTGATAAGTGCTTGCTTTTTGACCTTCTACTATAATACATAGTTAAATAGTTTCTTCCCCGTCTGTTTAAACTGTTTTTTGTCGATTTACGGGGGTCTGCACAGGGTATTTTATTGTGAAAATGGCTGCGGGTTCTCTGGAGAGGAGTGGAGACACACTTCTGGGACGAGTTCAATCTCAAAACGTTTTGTAGGCACTGATGAAGTGATGAAGCTTGCTATACATGTCAGTTCTTCTTACTAGCCCTTTTGCAAGATTTGAATGTCTTGTGGATGATAGCTTGCTGCATTTAAAATAAGTTATTATTGCTGTTCACTTTGATAGGAAGTGCTTTTCAATAAAAATTTGCCTGATTACATTAATTTTAATTCACTCAATATTCTCTAATTGGTGTCACAGCTCGGCTCACGGACTGGACAAAAACAGGAGACACACGGGTAAACTAAATAACAAAGTGATTTATTACAAGAAAATAAGCGAAACCAATGAGTGGGAAGAGTCTGTAAAGTAGTGATGGCAGTGCGACGCTGAAGCTTCGATATGTGCTTTGAAACCCTGAACTACAATCCTATAGAACCACTGCTTCAAAGCTTGCTTTGACATATGAAGTCCGAAGCAGCAAGTACTTCATTGCCTGAATGAATCATCTGACTGGTTTGCGGTCCAATCAAGTGATTCACTGAAACTGCCCTGTGTTGATTTTGACAGGTGATAGGTTGAGACAGTTTTGAGTTTGAGCGCCTTTTAGTCTTTATAACCACTCTAAACAACACACGATTTGTGGAGTAGTAGTCGTAGTAGGTGCGTTATTGCTGTCGAGTTGTTGGTATTGCATTTGTATTGGATCATTATGGAACCAGCCCGCAAGAGAGGTCGTTCTGACACTTCAATCTGATCGCTCCTTATAAGGTGGGCGTTCTGGCTGTTTAATATGTAAAGTAGGAAAAGTAAAGTTTATACAACAGTAACTGCCAGTACAGTAGCCTTCTATAGCTATGGTCTATATTAAGTAGCATAACAGTAAAATGATGTACATGATTAGTGTAGCCAGTAGCTATCTTTATAGACTCAAATTGCATTTTTATTTACAAATTGCTTTCTTTACAGGTCCGGTGCTTGGTGTGTTCAACCGAGCTGAAGTATCATGGGAATACTTCCTCCATGATTAGACACTTCACTGCCAAGCATGGAGCTGCTAAAAACCATGGGAACACAAATAGAGGTAGGCTATGCTATGTATTCAATTATTATTACCTAGACACACTTACGCAATATGAGATGACTGTATGCCTTGACTCATAGGCTGCTTCATTTAAATGCAGTTTCACATAAATCCTTATTTTCTTTTATTAAAATAATTTTAATTTCTTTATGTCTTCATTTATTTGTCTTAGTGGACTGGAAGCGAGAGCTAGATGAGGCTCTTGTGAATATGGTGGTGAAAGACTCGCAGCCCTTTTCCATTGTGGATGACTGTGGCTTCAAGGAGTTTGTGACATTGCTTGGTCCCACATACGCTCTTCCATCCGACAGGCTCTTAAGAACATGGTGGTCCAGAAACACGAGGAGGAGAAGACCAAGGCCAAAGTTGTCATGCAGTGGGTGGAGGCTGTTAGCCTGACTGCTGATATGTGGACCTCCATTAATATGGGTGCATATCTAGCAGTGATGTGCCATTATGTGGATGATTCTGTGAAGCTGGCCACAGTCCTTTTGGGAGTGCTGCCTTTCCCTGAAGCTCATACAGCTGTTAACATCACTGCTGCAATGAGGTCTCTCATTGGAGGAATGGGGCATTGAAGGCAAAGTGACCTCAACTGTGACAGATGCAGGAGCTAATATGGTTGCCTCTGTCAGAAGTTTAAATCTCAGACACGCACTTTGCTTTGCTCATTCCCTAAATTTAGTGGTGAAAAAAAGTCTTGATGCAACTCCTGGCCTAGAAAATCTACACATGGGCTCGAAAAGTAGTGACATTCTTCAAAACCAGCACAACAGCAAAAGAAAAGCTCAGAGAAGTATAGGAGCAGATAAATC